GGGGGGGGGGGGGTCTGCAAGCCCCTCCTCACCTGGTGAGTGTGTGACACGCGGGGACACATGTCACCTGTCCCAGCCCTGAGTGCACACTCCCTGTCCCCCACGAGGACACTCCTGGGTGCTCTCGGACCCTGCAGCCCCCCCAAACTCCCTGGGGGGTGGGACTCCCTGTCCAGCTGCTCTCAAGGGCCTCTGTGCTGTCCCCGTGGTGGTGGCTCAGGCATGGCAGAAGTGCCTTTTTTGAGGGGGGTCGCTGCAGTTTGAAGCATCCCAGAGCTTTGGGGAGGACCCCAGGGACCCCCCCAAGGGTTTCAGACCCCACGGTGTACACAAGGAGGACAGCAGGAGTTGGGGACAAGGGGGACAGTGTCCCCCACTGTTGCAGGGACTCCTCTGGGTACAGGATGGGGAGAAGGGAGGACAGGAGGCATGGAGACCCTCAAGAGGGCAGAGGAGGGGTGGGCACAGCCCTGAGCCCCCCAGGAAGGCAGGAGAGGGGTGGGCATAGCCCTGAGCCCCCCAGGAAGGCAGGAGAGGGGTGGGGACAGCGCTGAGCCTCCCAGGAAGGCTGGAGAGGGGGTGCACATCCCGATTCCGGCGGCACAGCACAGCATGGCATGGCACAAGACCCTCATAGCTGAGGTTCAAGGGGGTCCCAGGACCCCCCAGGAACCAAGGAGTCAGGGATGCCCCGAGCCCAAGGAACCCCAGGGCACGGGGGGTTCTAGGGGACACAGCCAGAATGCCCAGGGCAGGGGGTCCCTGGGATGCCTGTGGTACCTGGAACACTCCTGGTACCCAGGACACCTGCAGTGCCAGGGATGCCCACAGGACCCGGGATGCCCATGGAAACCAGGATGCACATGGAAACCAGAATGCCCACAGCACCTGGAATGCCCACAGCGCTCAGGATGCCCAAGGAGCCCAGGATCCTCACAGCACCTGGAATGCCTGCAGTGTCAGGGCTGCCCATGGAGCCTGGGAAGCTCGCAGCGCCCAGGATGGCTACAATGCCTGGGATGCCCATGGAATGTGGGATGCCCATGGAGCCTGGGATGCCTGTGCAACTCTGAATGCCTACAATGCCCAGGGCGGCTGCAGACCCTGGAATGCTCACAGTGCCTGGGATGCCCACAAGCCCCGGGAGATGCCCATGGAACCTGGGATGCTCACTGCACCAGGGATGCCCGTGGTGCCCGGGATGCCCATGGAGCCCAGGATGCCTGCCGAGCCCGGGGGATGCTCACAAATCCTGGCATAACCACAGTCCCTAGAATGCCCGTGAAGCCCATGGAGCCCGGGATGCACACAGCCCCAGGGATGCTCTGGAAGCCCGGGGGATGCTCACAAATCCTGGCATAACCACAGTCCCTAGAATGCCCGTGAAGCCCATGGAGCCCGGGATGCCCGTGGAGCCCGGGATGCACACAGCCCAGGGATGCTCTGGAAGCCCGGGATGTCAGCAGCTCCCGGGATGCCCACTGCACCCGGAATGCCCACAGCCCCCGGGACACACCCGGAGCCCCCGGGATGCCCGAGGGGCTCGGAATGCCCGTGGAACCCGGGATGCCCATGGAGCCCAGAATGCCTGCCAAGCCCGGGATGCCCACAGATCCCGGCATGACCACAGCCCTTGGGATGCCCGTGGAGCCCGGTACGCTCACAGCTCCAGGGATGCCT